TTTTTTTTTTTTGTTGTTTTAAATATTGTTGTTGTTGTTGTTGTTGTTGTCGCTTCCACCTCCCCTCACCATCACTACCATCAATCGCACAGATACACGCTGCTTTCTGTTTCAACTTGGGGTCTCCCTCAGGCCCCCTCCCCGCCTTTGGCCACTTCGCTGTTTCGCCGCTATTGGCGCCATACGTGTAAACAAAGCAAAAAAAAAAGGCCCCAAACATTTTATGGGAGGAGGGAGAGGGAGAGGGAGAGGGAGAGAGAGAAAAGACTATACGAAGAACAAAGTCGGAGTTTAAAGGGCATTGCGAAACAAATCATGCGCTGCACACCGCGTATGTATGTGAAGTGCACTCGCGCGGGGTGTGTATGTGTGTGTGTGTGTGTGTGTGTTTGCCCCTGCTATCTAGTATGAGAACCTCCCGAATCCTCAACCCCAAGGCCAAACTGCAAAAAAAAAAAGAAAACACGAAAACAAAATAAAAGCAAAAACAAAAATGTAGTCGGGCGCTCAAACACGAGAAGAGTGAAGGACACCGTAATGAGAAGGCGAGGAGAGGAGGGCTCTGAAGAGCAGTACCGAGGTAGAAAAATGGTGGGAGAGAGAACGAAAGAGGGGGATACAGAGTTAGATTGCTTCGCAACCTTAGTTCTCTCCCTTAGTCATGTGCGTCATCAGTCTTGTTGATATTAGAGAAGAGAGAAAATTAAAAGCGGAAGAGGAGAGGAATGGAAAAGAAACTCATGAGATGTTTTCCGCTCCTCTTGTGTGTTTGAGACAGAGAGTACCCACGTGAATATTCTCTCACACGTCATGTGGACAGCCTACCGCCACTTTGTCATCCCTAAACTATGGTATGGTGGGCCGAGGAGGTGAGGGAGAACAAAGAGGAATAACGAACGAGTCGGTTCCACTGCCACCTCTATTATCTCCTCTATCTTTTTGCTTCTTTGGTGACTGCTAGTGTCGCTGCTACTGGGTTTTTCGTTTTCGTTTGTTTTTTTTTGCTTTGAGTTCCTACAAAACAAGAGTATTTGCGTGGAAGGCGCAATGCACATCTTCTATCTGTTTCTTAGTGTTGGCTTTGGGTTCTCCTGTCTGCTATTCGGCGTTGCCCTGCTCGTGCGGCTCAAGACGATCGAGGCTGCGCAGCGCCGCCTCGAGCCACACGAGATGCGACTGCGAGATCCGACAGATGTCGCTGCGCAGAAGGCGGCACGGCGCCCGCTGCGGGTGGTGATCCTGCACCCCGATCTTGGCATTGGCGGGGCGGAGCGGCTTATCATAGACGCGGCGGTTGGGTTGCAGAAGCACCAACAGGTGACACCCTTGAGTACGACAATTGTGACGAATCACCACGACCCGAGGCGTGCCTTCCCAGAGACTGTGGACGGCACCGTGACGGTGCACGTGTGCGGTGCGTGGCTGCCGGCTTCTTTCTTTGGGCGTGCCAAAGTATTCTGTGCCACGCTGCGGATGATGTGGGCTGCCTTCGTCGCAGCCTCCTCATACCCAGATACAGACTGTTTCATGGTGGATCAGGTGGCCGCCGTTCTCCCGGTTCTCTGTTGCTTTGCACCGCAAGTTCCGCGCCTCTTTTACTGTCATTTCCCTGATCAGTGCTGTGATTCTAATCGAGACATCGATGGCTGCTTTGTAAAACCGCCGTCGAAACTGCACATATGGTACAGACGCTTCTTTGATGCAGTAGAGGCGCGTGCGATGGGCTACGCGGACAGCATAGTGTCAAACTCTAAGTTCAGTAGGGATATGGCGGTGAAAACGTTTCCGCAGCTGCGGTCTGTAATTGATCCCGAGATGGACATCTTTTATCCTCCTGTCTCGTGGCCAGCAGAGTCGGCACCTGAATCAGGTACGGAAGAGACCGAGGTACTTCTGAAACGTATCAAAGGCCACACTGTGGTGCTTAGCATTAATCGATATGAAAGGAAGAAAAACCTGGCACTTGCAATTGAATCATTCGCTCGTGTTGTATCAAAAACCTTGGATGTATTAGCGAAGCCGCCACTTCTCATCATTGCAGGTGGATATGATCTGCGGCTGGCGGAAAATGTAGAACATCTCCAGGAACTCAAGGAGCTAGCGGCAAGTTATCACCACATAGCTGAACGGGTTATATTTCTACAAAACATATCCAATGCGACGAAGAGTCAGCTTCTCTCTCACTGTTGCTGCCTTGTTTACACCCCAACAATGGAGCACTTCGGAATTGTGCCGACGGAGGCTATGGTGTGCGCCAGGCCGGTTGTTGCGGTGAACCAGGGTGGCCCATGCGAGAGCGTCGGTGAAGGCGGCAGCCTGTGCGAGCCCACACCGGAGGCGTTTGCAGAGGCGATAGCAGCGTATATGACTGATGAGAATTTGGCAAAACGTGTGGGCACCGCCGGCCGGCAGCGTGCATTGCGGCTGTTCAGTATC